TATATTAAAGACAAACGTAATCTAGTGCAAACGTTGCCCTTGATGTTCTATAATATTATTACTGAGAACGTGCAACTTTCTATCACTGTAGATAAAAGAGAAATAATCTATGTTCAATCAATTATCACACACTACCCAGTAACATACATTCTTTGTTGTCGGTACTAAAAGTTATAAACTAATAGGGATTGGGGTTATTTGTAATAACTTGTATTAAGGTGCAGACGATACGTTCCTCAAATATCTGTTTTTGCAGTCCTTTGTAATATATACCAAAAAAATTTATAATTGTCATTATATTTTGATTTCTAAACTATTTTCAAAATGTCTGAAAAATAAATAGACCAAAAATAGTGATATCAGCGGTTCAAGTGATCTCTTGTATAGGATTATATTGGAAATACCATCCTCCGGAATCTTGCCTGGTAATGTACTCCAATTTCTTGTGAGGGAACTTCTTAAAGTAGCAATATTTCAATCACAAAAAATTGGGAAAAGCTATATATTTTTGAGGAACGTGTTGTCTGACCTTAAACAAGTACGAGTGCTTACAGATTCATCGCTCTCTAACGGCTGACCACATTGCCCCTTGTTCCATAATAATGTGAAGTATTTGTTAAGATTTACGGCTGACCACATTGTCTCTTGTTCCATAATAATATTAAGTCTTTGTTTAGATTTACGGGTGACCTCTCTGCCTCTTGTTCCATAATACTAATAATGTGAAGTCTTTGTTAAGATTTACGGGTGACCACTCTGCCTCTTGTTCCATAATAATGTGAAGTCTTTGTTAAAATTTACGGGTGACCACTCTGCTTCTTGTTCCATAATAATTTATAGTTTGTGTTCAGATTTACGGCTGACCACATTGCCTCTTGTTTCATAATAATGTAAAGTCCTTTTTAAGATCATTGAATCTTGTTCCATAATAAAGTGAAGTCTTTGTTAAGATTTAAGACTGATCACATTGCCTCTTGTTCCTTAATAATGTGAAGTCTTTGTTAAAATTTACGGGTATCATCTTTGCTTCTTGTTCCATTATAAAGTGAAGTCTTTGTTAAGATTTACGGCTGACCACATTGCCTCTTGTTTCATAATAATGTAAAGTCCTTTTTAAGATCATTGAATCTTGTTCCATAATAAAGTGAAGTCTTTGTTAAGATTTAAGGCTGACCACATTGCCTCTTGTACCATAATAATGTGAAGTATTTGTTAAGATTTACGGCTGACCTCTCTGCTTCTTGTTCCATAATGATTGGAAGTCTTTGTTTAAATTTACGGCTGACCTCTCTGCCTCTTGTTCCATAATTCTAGTAATGTGAAGTCTTTGTTAAGATTTACGGGTGACCACTCTGCCTCTTGTTCCTTAATAATGTGAAGTCTGTGTTAAGATTTACGACTGATCTCTATGCTTCTTGTTCCATAATAATGTGAAGTCTTTGTTAAGATTAACGGCTGACCTCTATGCTTCTTGTTCCATAATAATGTGAAGTCTTTGTTAAGATTTAAGGCTGACCACATTGCCTCTTGTTCTATAATAAAGTGAAGTCTGTGTAAAGATTTACGACTGACCACATTGCCTCTTGTTCCATAATAATGTAAAGTCTTTGTTAAGATATACGGGTGACCCCTCTGCCTCTTGTTCCATATTAAGGTGAAGTCTTTGTTAAAATTTAAGGCTGACCACATTGCCTCTTGTTCCATTATAATGTGAAGTCTTTGTTAAGATTTACCTCTTACCACATTGCCTCTTGTACCATAATAATGTGAAGTCTTTTTTAAGATCTACGGCTGACCTCTTTACTTCTTGTTCCATAATAATGTGAAGTCTTTGTTAAGATTTACGGCTGACCTCTCTGCTTCTTGTTCCATAATAATGTGAAGTCTTTGTTAAGATTTAAGGCTGACCGCATTGCCTCTTGCTCTATAATAAAGTGTTTTTGTTTGTTTTGTTTGTATATTGTTTAACGTCCCTCTCGAGAATTTTTCACTCATATGGAGACGCCACCACTTGCCGGTGGAGAGCTGCAAATTTTGTCCTATACTCGGCACTTACGGCCATTGAGCAGTGAGGGATCTTTTTCGTGCCAGCACCTACTGCGACACGGGATCTCGGTTTATACGGTCTCATCCGAAGGACCGGTCTCCACGTCCCACAGTGGGATTCGAAACCGCGACGTAAAGATATACTCCTTATGCCGCGACTCTAGAGCAGATGCTCTAACCACTGCGTATATTAAAGTGAAGTCTGTGTTAAGATTTACGGCTGACCACATTGAATCTTGTTCCATAATAATGTAAAGTCTTTGTTAAGATATACGGGCGACCCCTCTGCCTCTTGTTCCATAATAATGTGAAGTCTTTGTTAAGATTTACGGCTGACCACACTGCCTCTTGTTCCATAATAAAGTGAAGTCTTTGTTAAGATTTACCTCTGACCACATTGCCTCTTGTTCCATAATAATGTAAAGTCTTTGTTAAGATATACGGGTGACCTCTCTGCTTCTTGTTCCATGATAATGTGAAGTCTTTGTTAAGATTTACGGCTGACCTCTCTGCTTCTTGTTCCATAATAATTTGAAGTCTTTGTTAAGATTAACGGCTGACCTCTTTGCTTCTTGTTCCATAATAATGTGAAGTTTTTGTTAAGATTTACGGCTGACCTCTCTGCTTCTTGTTCCATAATAATTTGAAGTCTTTGTTAAGATTAACGGCTGACCTCTTTGCTTCTTGTTCCATAATAATGTGAAGTTTTTGTTAAGATTTACGGCTGACCTCTCTGCTTCTTGATCCATAATAATGTGAAGTCTTCGTTAAGATTTACGGCTTACCCTTTTTGCTTCTTTTTCCATAATAATGTGAAGTCTTTGTTAAGATTTACGACTGACCACATTTCCTCTTGTTCCATTATAATGTGAAGTATTTGTTAAGATTTACTGCGATAAGATGAGAGGCTAACATAGAACTTTTTTGTTAGAGTACAGAGTTGATTTCTTATTGCAAAAGTTGCATTCTTTAAACAATTCTTTATAACCATAAATGATAAGCTGAACATCTTAATTTTAATACAACTTTGTTCATAAAAAAACATTAGTTTCGTTTAACAACGTGTACTTCTTTTGTTTTTACCTTGAATTTGAATATTTATGTTATTTCCAACACTATAGCATTCATTAATCAATATTTTAAAATCAAAGAGCGACATGAAAGCCTCCAATACTGAGATGTCTTTCACCTATGCTCAAAATGACACATATCTCTCTTAAATCACCGTATCATCTTAGAAAAGGAAGCGATCTCGCTTGTTGGAGTTTGAAGTGAAATCTTGAAGTGTTCAGTACAAATAAGCTTCATATAGGTTTCGTTCGTTCAGAAACATGTACCCAAGGCCATCTTACAGACATTGTTTTTACTCTTTCTTTCTACTAATTAAAAAATTGCCCGACTCAAAGATTTCCTTTAAACCTCCAAGAAAAGATTGTACTTCTTAATCATTTCGGAATTTTCAGATCCCTTCAACTACTTCGTCAATTTCATATTCGCAAGTATCTATACTGGCCTAGATTAAAAAATAACTTTCCCTGTATACCTAACCATTTTTGTATCCTTAAATCGGGAGAGAGCAAAGCAAACATTCTTCTAAAGATAGCCCAATACAGGTATTTTATTTGTATCCTCTTTTTAACAAAATATGATTAAATTTATTGAACATACGAGGGTTGTCCGGTAAAATCGTGGACAAGTTGTCTAAAGTGAAAAACAATCATCACTGCGTTCTAAAACTTTCACTACTTTTTAGTACATTTTTTGTCAATATACATGGCAAATTTCAAATAGATATCTGCTCAAATAAACAAATAATGAGACTTTATGTTATGTGTGGTATCGCCTTACGGCGCACGGATGATAACGCCAAAGTGTCTAAAGCAGCGTCATGTTTTCTCTTTGCTAAATAAAAGTTGGATAAGCCCCACTTAAATTCGGGGATTTCATTGATGCACATACTTGATTTTCCCTATTTTCCTCCATAAACAGTCGAGGAACCAATCTCGCACACACATGGGACCTTCTGCATATTTATTAGTAAGTTATGGACAATACTCTCACTATCATTCAACTAAATAGGCTATCTTATATCGGCGGTCTACAGTGACAGCGTCTTTTGCTATGCCAGTAACTGTTTGTCCGTATGTTTTGTTCTACCCGGGGACCCGATCAAAAAGCTTCCGCTTAGAAAACTTCCATTTCACTTGTATACTAAAGATCTAGTGATATTTCTTTCTTTTCTTCTGTAGTCATTTAAAGTTTCTTGGGGTGTCATTACTTCATCTAAACCAAACTGAACTGCTCTCCGGTGCGCCGTAACGTCACCAAAAGTCGCCATTTTTCGTGTGTTGCGTTTACCACTTTCCCATTTCAAATGCTCGGTAAACTGCCAAAAATTAAGCAAATGCCTTGATATTTTACAAAAGACGAAATAATAGATAGTGGATTAAAAGTAGGATAATTTTTACCCCAACATTATCTATTTAATACTTTTATTTCGAAATAATACTCGTGTATTCGCTAATGAAACCCTGGTTTTTTTATCGTGCGCCGTAGGACCGTACCCTGTGCACATTCAAGCATAATAAAATCTTTATTTTTGCCTATATTTTATCAAAAAAATTAAGATGCACTTAAATATGATGAATAAACATTTGCTGAAAATTTCAGTTAAGTGCGCCCATTAATTTTCGAGAAAAACGCTTTGTCCACGATTTTACCGGACAACCCTCGTATACATTATATATTAATGAAACAATTTTGATTAAACAATGTCTTAATACGTTGTGCAAGTGAATGAAATAAAACAAAGTACAAATGATGTACTTTTATCCTATGACACTTCATAATCTAGTTAATTAAGTTGAATTTTTTTCGCTATAGGGTTTTTAATGCAAACGATTTCAACTAAATGAAAAATACAACTGTTCTGAAGTTTGAATTGGACTGTCTCAAGTTTACATTTTTCCGATCTTAAGCGTTTCTTTCAAACACAGGTATGTTTCAGAATAACGTCAAAAATAAATATTGCCTTCTGTGGTCTGAACATTTAATTTTGAAGGAAATATTTAGTTCATATGCGAATCTGCATCTGTGTGTATATATTTTTTAGCATTTACAACGATCGGATAGTCCATTGCATGTCTCACATTTCTTGTGTCCTTTTCGCGCGGTATTGTTTTTTTCTCTACAGTTGTAAGTGTTGTGGAATCTGTTTTCGATAATCTTGAAAAACTGCTCTCTTTCCACAAACGTTTTGTTGCTTTTGAGCAACAAAAGCTAAGAAAAATAAAACAACCTTGAAGACAAATTAAAGCAGTCGCCATATAAGAAAGAACAAACCATGTGACAAAGGCGTCGAGAATCTGCACTAACCAAACCAGACCTGTGATGGAAAACAGCTTTGCGAATGTTTTCACCTCTGAAATTTTATCTTTTCTCATTTTACTTGATGAAGAAATTCCTCGAACGGTATTAAAGAAAAAGAAACAATTGATAAAGCAAGTGAGAGCAAGGGGTGCAACAAATGATACCATATTTGATATAACATTCTCTACAAAACATATTTCTACTCCATACCCAAGCGTCCCGTTTACTGCAAACATCACTACAACGTTTGTACAAACGACGACTAAAGGTGATAAGTAAGAAAATGCGATATAGCGATAAAAAGTGCTGATGGTGAAGCTAACCCCTGATCGCACCAGATTCTGACTACTGAACACTCTGTACATGTGGAAACAACAGATAAACAGACAGGAGCAAGTGCACAACCAGAAGTAATGGAGGAGAACTCCAACAATTTCACATGCAATACGGTCGTCTTGATTATTAGAAAAGAGAAACAGGAGTTGAGCACAAAACAAGGAGAGTACAAGACTCATTAGATTTAATCCAGGTATCGTCAGTAATGTTTTGAATAAACAGTACGTTATAAATGTAATCAGTAAACATACTAAACTTATGCCTGTGCACGTTAAAGTAAATATCTGAAGAGGTAAATCCGATTCTGGTGAAGACAATGTTTCCTTTTGAATATCTTCCTGGCAAATATGAATTTTTCCTTTCAAAGAAAAAACAAATTGTCCTATCTGGAAACGCTGTTGAGTCTTCTTTAAGATAATTTCAAGAGTTTTATAATCAATTGTAAACTCATCCTTATCATAAATGTTTTGTTTACAAAAAAGTAAAGAGCTCACGTGGTTGTTTTCTACCGGTGACTGGAGTATGGACCTGTTTAGAGAGTCCAGGTAACCAGAGTAGGCGGAAGGAAAAGGATAACGCCATTTGTCTACTATGTATGGTGGTGCGTGTTGTAAGCCCTCTACCTTTACTGAAAGGTTTGAAAAAGATGTCAAATTGTTTCCTATCTCCCCAACCTCTACCCAAGTAGTATAAAGAAGTGAAGAAGGAAAATTGAATAAAGCGACTTCAATTACAGAACGGTCAAAATAACCATATGCTTGTAAGTTTATGTAAATATGGGTTTTGAAATTGAAGGTATTATGCCATTGCTTCAATTCTGCAAGTGTAATTAGTGGAAGAACAAAGTATTTCTTGATCCCATGGAAAAGAATTTGGTTTAAGTGTCTTTGTATTTCAGAAAAGACATTTTCTATTGTTTGATTCAGATTGAAGTTGTTTATGGTTTCCGTTGATTTAATGTTAACATCCACCTCAAAATTAAGTGTGTATACTATTCTCGTTGCGGTTTTGAAGAAAACGATGCATTTTTCGTCTACAATGTTCCTGCCAGGATAACAACTAAACTGATCACTATGCATCACCTAGGAAAAATAAAATAACATCATTAGTAAACTGGTACGTATAAAGTAATAACGGTCATATGTAAAATTAGACTTAAAAAAAGCCCTGTCTAATTTTTTTCGCTTTCATAAAACACACACAAGGTAACCTAGAGGAGATTTGTGAGTATCGTTGATTACCGATTTCAAATTTTGGATTTCCGGGAATTGATATTCGAATAATTCAGATATACTCTTTGATTTCTTTTGGCTTCTTTTTTTATTATTATACCTGCAGGTTCTGGAACACAATAAGTTTTTGTATTCCTGTTCCCTCAAAAAAGGTATGTGTAATTACACAGCTTTCCATACTACAAGTGACTTTGATCAGATCACGTTTTATGTACATTTATTTCCAGGTGGCTGTTAATGTTGATCTTACATGGAGAGGACCATTGAGGATGCATTTTATCAATAACGATGGGTTCTGCATGTGATTTATACTTTTTGGATATGTTATCAAGATGATTTCTTTGGATCATATATAATCTCAAGTGAATATAATTTCTACTTTGAAAAATGGTATTAAGGATTTTGCAACTCGAGACGCAATATTTTTATTATGCTTTAGATGTTGGATGTAACCCCTATTTTCTGGATGAGTTAAGTTTCATTTAAAATTTTGGGTATTTCCACATACATTTTTCCTTGGAACATTTTTTTTCCAAAAATGTATGATGCCATCTCATTCATCTGATGCTGTGCATGACGTTCTAGTATAATTCCCACAGGCGTCGGAACTAGGGGAGGGGGGGGGGTAGGGGAGGCTTAGGCCCTCCTTTTTTTGCAAAGATAGACATAATATACTAGGCAATGAAGATTGGGGATTATTTAGGCAGTGTTGCATTGAATTCTGTATGTGACCTATATTTTCTAGATGATAATATGTAAAGTTTTTGAAGCAGGCGTGAGCCGTTCTGAATTAGGTCCTTTCCGAAGTCAGATTAGTGACCAATTTTGCATAGATATAGACTACATATATATACATACTATGCGTGACCTAAACTGTACAGAAGGAAAAAATAAGAATAAAGCTCTATTCCGAACCGAATATTATTACATACGGAATATTACACTTACCATGGAGGATTTTCGGTTAAGTTCACTCTAGAATCAATTCAAAGATATCGGGGTTTTCTCTTCTCTCTACTTTTTCTCAAGATTTGTTTAATTCATTTATCTTTATTTTTTCCTTAGTTTTTTTTAATCATGCTCAGTACATAAAAAATTAACTCCTTGAGAATTACTTTTATGGAATTTCTTAACTATGAAAGTTTGTAAAACAACACATTGTAGTTAAACTTTGACAATGCCTGCTTAATTCACACCTTATGACTTACCCCTTCATTTAAAGAAGTTTGAAATCCGTGAAATTTGAACAAATTCCGAAGAAGCGGAGGTCGGACAACATTTGACCCTGGATCCAATGTACACAAGTAATGGCGTCTCTGTTGAATCAAGCAATCTGGGGCACAGGGTTTATAGCATGATTCACAGAATCTGTTCTTATACCTGGGTTCATATGGATGGTTAAATGTAAAACCAGCATCTGGAAACAGTGAGCATGCTTCCTGATAATATGGACTATAATTAATGCTATTGTTTTCACATGTGTCATAAATAAGATCCATATCGACTGGAGCTCTTGGATTGCAATGTTGGCAAAAGTCTGTGTTCATATATTCACTGTAATGAGAATTTTCACATGCCCATTGTACATCGGTGTCAAATGTATAAAGTTTGTTTGTGACGTTACAGCGAGTATATCCGTCTTTGAATATTCTAGGACATTGAAATGAATCGCCTGTATTGAACACTAGCGAGCAGTTTTGTGAAAGCGCATTTGATATCAGGTCGATGAAACTTGCAGCATAATAAATGTTCAGCTCTCTCTGACACAGGATGTTAACCTCCCAAGCTTTGTACTGAGATGAAAAGTTCAGACTTTTCTCTGTGACTTCAAATTTGTTGTTGCAGAGGTAACAGTAAATATTTCTATATGATAATTTTCCAGAAGAAACTGGAAACATATCAAATCGACCAACACTATTTTCACAGAGGCGTCGTATGGCTGCATAATACTCCGAACCATCAAACATGTTGTCGTTCCTGTGACAACCACTGATAACTGTGATCTTTTTAGGATTTCTTTTTGTGTTGATGCTGTCAGGGATACATTTGATGGGCCACATCAGCGCAGTATCCAAACAGCATTTACAAGGCTCTTCCAGCATACACGAAGGATGACACTGACAGTCATCCTTAGTTTGATTTCTTGCAAGAAGTGGTAAACGTCTTTTGTCACATATGGCCTCGGGAAAGAGAGACAACCGTTTCATCAGTAAATTTGAGATGTTAATATGTTTATCGAGGATCGTCATTATTCCTGGAATATACGATTCGGTAGTATAATTTGTTTCTGTGTGTTTTAATATATCTTCATGTATGGAGTCTTCCCGTAAAACTATCTTCTCGAACTTGTACTCGAACGTTTTGGAGACGAATTCAAAAGCTTGTACTTTAATATCATTGAAGATGTAGCATTTATCACCTTCAGTGCTGTTAAGGTTTCTTTTGTTGCAGAAGAGACAGAAAACATTTCGGTAAGGATGGGTCATTTCAATCACAGGATTTTCTCTGCAGGCCAACTCCAAGTCCTCTTCATAATCCAGTCATTCCCCCGTCACATTACATGAAGATATTTTTGAAGATTTATTTCCATCTGAATGAATTGGATTACACATGGCACAAAAAATATTAGAATACGTTCTGTATTGAAGGTCATACGTAGATTCACAAGCCTTCTGAATGTTGTGGTTTCTATTCCTCCAAGTTTTAGAGACGTTACATCGACTCCTATAATCTTTGGAAGAAAGTACCTCCTCTTGAATCGATAGTGTGAAATCAGGTACATACAATAACACACAAGATGCATTCTTTGCATAAGCAAAGATTTCTTCATATGAAGACAGATAAAAAATCCTCCCTTTGTCGGCGCATTTATTGTCAGTAGTTAAACTCCATTCATGCAAGTCTTCGTTTTTTTCGAAATGGCAGTAGGCACATGGGCGATTTACGTACGATACATTACTCTTGGTAGAGGTAACGGGTGGTCTAGTTAAGATTTCTCTGGGTGAAGCCTCCTTTTCACATTCATACCTCTCTACTAAATTGCTGTTTTGGGGACAGGAATTAACCACAGCATATGACGAAGGTATTACATTCTGTTCTGTTAAGGATGCTGGATAATTGATAGTCATTGATTTGTAGACAGAATAAGGTTTGTTAAAATACTTATCAGGACAACAGGTTCGTTCTTGAAAACAGCTGTCCATGCAGGAACACCTTGGACATAGATTTGATTTTTTGTGGTCACCTCTCAGGCGATAAGTGCTGTGCCAATCATAACATGTGTATCCAGGACCACAGACATTGATGTAGTTATTCATCAGGTCGGTCATATTAATCTGGGCGTTTACAAAGCTCCTAATTACATTCATGGCATAGAAGATTGCTGCAACAAGGGAAACACTCTGTCGCTGAAGAACCATTTTGTTCTGCAAGGAAGGAATTGCAATTTTGTAAATATATATATATATATATATATATATATATATATATATATATATATATATATATATATATATATATATATATATATATATATATATATATATATATATATATATATATAGATAGATAGATAGATAGATAGATAGATAGATAGATAGATAGATAGATATATATATATATATATATATATATATATATATATATATATATATATATATATATATATATATATATATGCATTATTGCTAGCCCTGGGGCATTCGTTTCTTTAATTGTTCTAGGGACGAGAGCGCGATCAGCACGCACTCATGATTGTTCTTTTCGGAAGAGTGTACAGATTTGACGTCAAAAAGAAAGCTGCAAGGAAAACCTATGAAGATTAAGGTACGGAATCAGCTGAAGCAGGTCATCTAAAAGAAAGATTACTCCTTTCGACTTTTTCTGAGATTTTGTTGTATTTGGAAATGCTTATGTAGAAGTGAAAGTTAAACGTAGTCATTCCTGCGCACAACAATTTGCAGAAAGGGTATAGAATCGGTAATATGCCTGTATATGTGGATGTTTAAGCAAATATTCTTAGAATATAGTTTGTAAACCATCATTCAAGTTAACTCATTTGTTTATTTATTTATTTATTTATTTTTTGGTAACTTGCACATAACATTTGAGTTGTAGTTACCAATTTCCTGAGAAATAATTCACCAATAAGCTTGGAAGATAATAGGGGTTGACCTAAACAGAGTTTGGTGATCTTATAAGTACAAGGGTTCTCACTAACCAATCCCACACTCATACCACCGACCTTACATCCCTTCCATGAGCGAAGTGATAACTAAGCTTTGTTTTAGTTAAGTCTTTGAAACTTATCTCACAAAATGTCTAACGAATAGCTCTGGTATTTCAATATATTTATATACACGTATACATTGTATTAATAATGGATTATCAATGAAAAAATATTTTACATACAAATAAATATACGAGGGGTGATCAAAAAGTTCGCAATCTAATTGAATTATTTCCATACAAGAAATAAAATTAGGCTTCAGTGTTCATTATTTTTTTTAAAATAGTTCTCTCCGATTTTAATGCACACCTGTCACCGTTCTGCCCATGCGCGAATCGCGTGATCCAGGCGGTCACGTGACATGCTCCGTAGCGTTCTGTTCACAGATGTTAAAATATTTTTCCCAGTCTTATATTTCTAACCATGCAAGTTACTTGGTATTTTTTATAACTAGAAAAGTTTATTTGTCAGAAATGGGCAAATCTCGGCAATAGGATGGGTGGATAAGGAAATTCTTTCCCAGAATGAGCATGGTGACAATCACAACCCGAGTCCTCTGTCTTGGGTGCGTTGTTTATCCAATGTGGATAAAATATGGGCGCCTTCTTTTTATCATATCTGATATGTTTAAAGTGTAAAGTAAGCGATATTTTAGGGATTTGATAATTATATTATTGTTAAAATATTCAACTATTTTTTTTAACTGTAACTTGGCGATCTTTCAAAACAAATTGCTCAACTAAGGACACATTTCCTCCAGAGCTTGCTTTCACTGGGCAAGAGAACAAACATCATTTTTAACCATCTCCCTTCCTTCACTAAAACAAATAATCCAATTAATGATTGAACTTCTGGCAAGTCTTTCGTCTTCATAAACCTTGTAGAAATTATTATATGCAACTGCAAAGAAATTTCAAGATATACGTTAAACTTTACAGCCGTTTGTTGATCGAGTACGTGACTGAGTAAACCATTTTTTTTTGTCACAGGTCATCTACATATTGACGACATTTTTACATTGTGACGTCACAAACATGGAACAAAACATTACATATCACCTGCTATTTATAGAACGTGTGTATGATTATATGTGTGCCAAATTCCATTCTGATCTGAATTGTGGTTTTGTAAATATAGAGATAGTTCTCGAACATTTTTATCAATTTATTGGCTAGGAAAATTCTTCATATAACTTGTAAAGATAACGTTATAGGTATGATATTTATTTAGCTTTTTATATGTGAGTCAAAATAACTTTGAATACACGTTGGATGACTGATCAGAAGAAATGAACCCGACTCGACATCAAATGTGTCTCTCCTGTCTCTGAATCTTAAAATTATGCCATTTAATTAAAATTGGTAATATGAACTTTTTTTTTTCAATTCCCGACCTGTTCAATCATTTTAAAAACTAATGCGAGTTTTTTCCAAAGTATAAATTGCGGCAAAAAGATCCACCCCTTTCCGGCATCATTTTAATAAAAAAAAAAAAACTTGAGTGTTCCAGGGAAAACATGTGTCGCCTGTTTTATTGAATCATAAAAGGACAATAAATCGAAAGGGGGGGGGGGGGGTCAGTTATTTATTTGCTACTAGCATTATTATGATTTATAATAACATTTAGAAAGAAATTTCAACAAATATATAGCATTTATTATATAAAATCTGACACTCTATGTTGATTAAAATCAAACTGAAATATGATTCACTATCCTTCAAAGCTACTGAGTGAATAATGAAATTGAAACAACATATAAGAAATATTTATTTTTCAATTTAAAACATAATAAATACGTATTTATCAAATTATACTCCAGAAGGGATTTACAGTCTTTCTTTACTGCAGTATCAGTCTAAAACGACCCTTTGGGTATACCGATCACGAGGTATTTTCATAGTATTTAAATTTCAGTTTGTGTGGTTACTTGATTGCATAAGGTTTCAAAGTACAGTGTCATGAGTTCATAAACGTTAAATATAAATGCAAAAAATAAAATCAAAAGAGACCCGAGTTAATAAACCGTCCGGAGTATTTTCTGCAGAGTAGGTCATGGTCAAGTGTATTGTAACCCTGGTGATTTTCATGATATTATATCTCAAACAGTGCACATGCTAAATAGCACAAATTTACCTCTTAAATCATGTCAAAAATATGCTGTATATCGGCACAATAAAATATTTTAAAAAGTAGGTTAAAGGTCAAGTTCAAAGGTCACGAGGTCGGTAACTATTGTATTTTACACAAAAAAACAACAACAAAGTATTAAGCAATAAATATACAAAATATCAAATCCACTACTTTTACAGTTCTCAAGATATACTGAGTGTGACAGACAAACGGACAGATATACGCCGGGTAAAGTGATCCCTAATACCTAGGTCACATTTAAGCCGATGGTCGGGCGACCAAATTTTTCTCGTATCGTCGGCTGAAAAACCTGATCGGCCGACACTAGTATCGGACGACTCGGAGCAGTCGCATTAATTCCTACAAACACCGATGACTTCAAAAGTCTAAATATTTATAAGTAGGTCAATCGTCCCCCAATCATGGAGCGCTGAGCCGCAGTTTGATTTTAATCATCGGCCAACATTTACCAAAACCTAATACCTAAATGTCTACCGACCGACGATCGACTTAATAAACTGTCTTAAATTCGGATGGTCGGACGATGATCGAGGGTTGCTCGACGGACTATTCAATGACTGCTTCAATTGAAGAAATGGCAACCGACGTAGAAAACTTATAACTGGGTCCGACGGATTCAAAATTGGTGGGCCGACGAAAAAAGAGGCCAAAATCGAGCAAGACAAATATAGCCCGAAGAATTTAATTTTTGCCTCAAAATACATCGGCCATTGGTCGTTTTTTGGAAATATGACTGGGCTCTGCACTGCAGGCGACACAAAAAAAGTAGAACTATGTCACTGCTCGAGTGAATGAATGTATAAATTCTACAACAAATGCTAATATCAAACAAGCTAATTCAGAGAAATTGTGTCCCCCGCTTAGGGAAAAAAGAAGAGCATGCGCAGTTCGGAGGGGGGGGGGTCAAACTGCCCCCTGTATTTGTAGAATTATTAAATGTATACATGTATATTGAAGCAAATTTTAAAAAATGCCAATATGGATATAAAGATTTCATTGCTTATTCTTTAATATGTGTATAGAAGATTATTTTTAATATACAGAATATTTATCACACTGTAATAATGATTTTATGAGTTTGTACACACCAGACATCATAAGTTTTTCATTTCACATATTGAATAGTATCAATTAGTAAATCCAAAAAAGAAGAGAGGGAGAGAATCGTCCGGGGATTGAACCCGGGTCTCTCGCTTGCTAAACGACCAACTTACCACTAGACCACGGAGGTACTTGATTATATAGGAAATTAAATGCAAACATTAACTCACATATAATGTTTATATTGACGTTTGATATTGTCAAAATTTTAATCAATACATGGTGTCTAATTTAACCTTTACTAAACAGTTCTAATAGATGTAATAAGAATATAATGTCCGCCGACAACCTGTATTATACGTAATAACTCTCCACAAGCCCCTGTCCTAAAAATAGTGCCATGCAACTCTTAAAACAATACATGTAAATGAATAATAACTAAAAAACGGGGCGGGACACTTTAAGAGGGGTGAGGGAGGCCCTAGGGAGTTATGGTATAAAATTTCATTGCAAAAGCTCAACAGCTTCTTGAGATATCGCCCGGAAACACAAGTGTTACACACAGACGGAATGTATAAATTTACGACTTTGAACTCTGATCTTTTGAGCTCAAAATCAATAGAGGTCTTCCTTAGGCCACAGGGAGTTGTTATGTAAAATCTCTCTCTCTCTCTCTCTCTCTCTCTCTCTCTCTCTCTCTCTCTCTCATAAAATAAAAACACACTTCTGCTTCTGAAACTTGATGTATGTATATAATGTTATGTATGTTGTGTGAATAAAAAAAATAAAAAATAAAAAAAAATAAAAATTTCATTGCAAAAGCTCAAAGGATTCTCGAGATATCGCGTGGAAACGAAAGTGTTAAAACAGACAGAATTTATGAATTTATGACCTTTGACCTTTTGACCTCAAAATCAATAGGGTTCTTCTTTAGGCCATAGGGAGTTACTATGCAAAATTTCATTGCGAAAGCTCAAACGGTTCTCGAGATATCGCGCG